TTTTAATCTGTTGCACTGGTCCCTTCTGAAGCGGTTCCCTTTGTTTATTTGGCTTCTGTTTGCCGGTCTCTTCAGTGTTTAATTTCCGCTCTAACACAAGCGGGCGGAGGTGGTCTCTTGTTTAGGTTCGCTTGTTCAGTGGTGCTGCGGGGAGGGAGGGGCGCTGCAGACAAACGTCACTGGCGTGTGTGGGGAGGACCCGCAGTGTTCCGGCCACACTGGTTTTGCCCCGCTCACGGTGTGTGTGCTTTCCCTGTCTACACTGCTCAGGCTCCAGGCTGCTCTCCAGGGAGCGGGCCCTGCATTATGTGCGCTTCCCAGGCCCAAGCCGCTCAGGTTCAGGTTCTCGGGTACTCCACAAAGGCGCAGAGTCCTTTGGGCATGCGTTTTGTGCCGTTCAGGGTCTGAGTAGCTCAGGCAACCAGGAGCTTGACGAGCGCGACTTCTCCCCTCCCCGTCCCAGCCTCAGTTTCTGAGTGTGCTGATCCGGTGTGCCTTGTTTCTCTTCTGGGGAGCTGATCTCTGGCTGCGACCTTCCCAGCGGATGTCAACCATCCAGAATCTCAGGAAGTCTTTGGTTAGAGACTGGAAGCCTGTTTGCAGTTTGGTATGGGATGCCGTCTCCGGGGCCGAGTTTGCCGCTTTCCGGCTCTAGCTGGTGCCCGCCTCCCCACTGCCTCTGGCGGGGGATGGGCCCCTCCGCAGCCGGCTATCTCCTCTCTGGTATTGCTCAGTCCTTTGTTCGGTGACTGGGTCGGCTGTGCCTTAGGTTAGGGCTTTTCACAGATTAATTCTCTCTCTGTCTCTCTCTTGCTATCCCACAGTTTAAGCTGCTATCTCACATTAGCTCCCTCCAATTGCCCTCAGGGCATTCAGGCCTGGTCCTTACCCTAAGCAATGCCGCCCGCTCCTCTCCGTTCTGCCCTCATTTGCTGGTGGCGGATGCGAGCATCTGGGGTACTTTTCTGCTGGGAGTTGCTTTTAGGTATGTATTCTGTGGGTTTTATTTACTTTTCCTCCCTGTTAGGTTGCCCTCTGAGATTCAAAAACTTCCCCCAGACCTGCCAGTGAGAGGGTTTCCTGGTGTTTGGAAACTTCCTCTATTAAGACTCCCTTCCCGGGATGGATCTCTGTCCCTAGCTCTTCTGTCTCTCTTTTTATCTTTTATATTTTGTCCTACCTCCTTTCGAAGACAATGGGCTGCTTTTCTGTGTGCTTGATGTCCTCTGCTAGTGATCAGAATTTGTTTTGTGAAGTTTGCTCAGCGTTCAAATGTTCTTTTGATGAATTTGTGGGGGAGAAAGTGGTCTCCCCATCCTATTCCTCCACCATCTTAGCTCCTCCTCTCAATAAATGACATTTATCAACTTCCTCCCTCTTGTTAGACCTTAGTGACACATACATTAATGACATACCTCTAGCCTCAAGGAGCTCTAAATTCAGTGTACAAGTCAGACCATTGTGCAAGAAACATCAGGCTGTGTTAGGTGTAGCAAAGGAGTCGTAAAGAGAATACTAGAGGAGCACAGAGGAAAAGGCAATGACTTCAGAATAGTTCTAACTAGAGAAACAAGATGAACCTTGAAGGGTGAGCAGGCAGATAGTGGATGAAAAAAGAGTAGGGAATATTCAAAACTAAAAGAATAACAAAATAGAGGTATAAAGTGTACTATGTATTTCTGGAATGCTAAATTCTCTAATTTGAGAAGCATGCATGATGGAAAATTACACAGATGTGATAAACTGAGTCACTTCATAATAGCCAACACATTATGAATCTTTTTAGGTGTCATGAACTCTTCTAGAAGTGCTGTATGCATTATTTGCTTTAACCTTCATTACTACCCTTATGAAGATACTATTACTTCTTTTTCCAGATCATAGATGAGAAATAGAAGCTTAAAGGATATGACTAACTTGTCCCAGGCCATCTAGCTAGTATGTGGCATAGCAGAACCAAATTTTAAGGTCAAAAGGAGAATCTATATTTTATCAATATTCTCTTGCCCTTTGGGGAGCCATTAGTTGGACAGATATGGGTTTGGTTGACCTGTTCTGTTTTACCTGAAGATCGTAGCCAATGGAAGAAGTACTAAAATGGCTGGTGGAGGAGATCAGTTCTTTGAAATCCTTGAGATTACTGTGAACAGGGTGAAGGTGTGATAAGGGTGGAGGGTGGAGGAATGATAAGGGGAGTGAATTCTTGTGAGTTGAAAAAAAGGGTCGCCTCCAGTGACATGTTTTCCCTTCCTTCTGGAAACACCCATAGTGCATAAAGAAAGGAACATGTTGATAACAGTTTTTCAAAGATTCACCATCAGGATTTTCTGATTTCCATTTCCAGAACATAATAGACTCTTTCATGGCATCATGCTTTTGATCACACTATTCTCTCTAGCTAAATTCTGATCCCCTTCATCTATTTGTCAAACTCTCAGATATGAAATAGTTATATATAAATATTTATATACATATATACACATAGTCATGTTTAATCACTCCTTTGTTAGAATTGCATGCTAATTTTTCTACATATGATTTGTCTCCCACTCTACCTTGGCTGTTATAGAAGGAAATGGCAGCCCACTTCAGTATTTTTGCCTGGAAAATCCCATGGATAGAAGAGCCTGTCGAGCCACAGTCCATAGACTCACAAAGAGTCAGACACAATTGAGCAACTTCACTTTCTTTCTTTCTACCTTGACTGTAAGCCCTGCAAAATCAGAATTGATATCTTGCAAGCTTCTCTAGTCTAAATACCAAAGAATATCTGGTATGGGGTAAAATCAATGAATTAAATTGAACACAAGTGATATTTATCATGAAGAATAAATGCGTGTAAGTATGGCTTACATGTAATCACATACAAATAAAGTGTACTTAACCCACTGCAGTATTCTTGCTTGGGAATTCCCGTGGACACAAGAGCCTGGTGGGCTACAGTTCATGGGGTCACAGAGATGGACATGACTGAGGGCCTAACACTTTCTTATGTATAGTACAATACATATAAATAAAGCTTGCTAAAAAAAAAAATCACACCTCTTAATACTCAGGTCATTTTTAGATATTTTTAATGTATTTCAAGCCTTCTATTGCACTAGGTATTTTTTAGGTGATTTTATTGGTTTATTTATTCTTTTACATCCATATGTTTAGTAACTACCTCGTACAAGGCATTCTTTTAGATACTACAGATACAGTGGCAAACAACATAGTCGCCTCCTAATGAAAGAGAATGACCTTAAACCACTATTTACCTAATGACTCTTTTATGTTGAGATGTGCCTATCTCTAGGAGTGACATTTCAGAGAATATCCATGACAGGAGGAATTCATTAGCTGAAAAGGGAGTCTTGGGCCGTATTGCTAAGATAACAGAGTCAATGAATTTTAAACAAATCAGGGTCGAAT